GGGGACGACTTGAGGGACGGGGGCCCCTCTCCGAGCACCGGGGACCCGTCCTCGGGGGCGGCAGGCACAGCTCGCGGGGAGGCGCGGGAGGCCGAGGCAGGGGGACAGCAGGTGCGCCAGGAGGCCCGGACGTCCCTGCGCCTGGCACAGTGGTGGGTGAACACGAAAAGGCCCAGGGCCGAGGCCGCCACCCCATACAAACAGCTGCACACTACCCGGGGCAGCCAGCGCTGGGACACGGTAAGAGCCCCGCAGGCCCACATGGCCAGGTACAGGAAATGCGTGGTCACCAGCGCCCCCAGCTGTACTCCCGGGGAATAGAGGCTGTCACCATCCTTTGGAGGCCCAGGTGTCACGGCCCCTGCACTCCCAGCAGCGAGAAGGGAACCTGAGTCACTCAGGAGGGGGCCGCTGCTCCTGAGCCTGGTGGAACCCCTCAGCTCTTCCCCTGGCTCCAGGGAGACCCTGCTGGCGCCCCCCTTTGGGCTCTGTGCCAGTGGATCCCGCAAGCGCAGCCCGGCGCACAGGAAATAGATCCAGGTGATGAGCAGAATCAAAGCCACCGGGATGTAGAAGGCTCCCAGGCTTGGACGCCACACGAGCCAGCAGCTGAGGGGAGACATGGACAGCTTGTCTGAGGTGGGGCCCCGAGGCTGGGTGGGTGGGTAGGTAGGCTATGGTGAGTGGAGAGGCAGACTGGTCAACATGCAGGGGCTAGGGGTGGGTGGCCGGGAGTAGGGGCGGGGGCAGGCAGTTGCCCCTGCCGGTGAAGGAGGCAGCAGGGCGGGGCTGGTAGGTGTGGGGTGGGCAGGCAGCACACTCACTAGGGGCCGTGGTCACGGTAGTTGTGGATGTTGACCGCAGCTGTGATGCCACAGATGATGAGTGGGATCCCTCCGGCGATCAGATAGAACCTGGGGAGGAACGGGGTTTGGGCGTGAGAGATGGGGATCGAGGGCGGACAGGTTCTCAGAACCCTCAACTTAGGGTCTCTGTCTCACCTCTTTTTTCCCTAAAAATTGTCTGTTTTTTTTTTGCCAGAGATGCAAGGCCCCCTACAGGGCAGGATCAGTAGATCCCTAGGGGACTTGGCCAAGACTGTTCTAAGGGATAGAGGCCAGAATTGCTGTCATCCTAAGAGGTGCAGAAACCAGGGGTGCCGCTCAGGTTCTCAGGATCCCTGCTTAATGTTGTCTGGAGTCACTTCTCTCCTGGCCTTGTCAGGCCTGAAACCCCAAGGATGCTCCCCCTCCATGGGGTTGGGCAACCTGGCGCCATCTAGGGCTTTGCCTCTTCTGTCTTTGGAGTGTGACCTCCCAGGACCTTGGACCCACCCACCCTGCATCCACCCTGCGAGAACCAATTTTGGTGTCGTATCCCCCAACCCCGAGCCTTTTCCCTCCACAAGGCTGACAGATGGAGGCACACACCGGAGCATGGGTCGGGGGGCAGGCAGCGCAGCGTCCCCTTCCTGTGGAGGGGGCACCCTCCATGTGAGCTCCTTGTGGAGGACGCGGGCCTTCACACCCATCCAGAGCAGTGTGGACAGCGAAGAGTAGTGCAGGGTGATGCCCACCTGGGGAGTCAAAGCACTGAGGCTGGGGGACCGGCCATCCCAGAACCTCAGCCCTGCAGTGACCTTCCACGCCTCCCATGTGCCCAGCCCCCAGCTCCACCCAGATCCTCCCCAAGGTTCTGTCCCTGCTGTTACCCTCTCTCCTTCCAGCCCCAGCTTCTCTCCCATGCCGGGGACTCTCCATGACCCTGCCATTGCTACCTGGCTCATCTCCAACCTCTCTTCCATTGCAAATCCCCACTCTCCACTTTGAAGTCCTGTCTCCTAGTTTCTCTGCTTCCTTCTGCCCCCTACTCTCATGCCCACCTTCCCCACAGGGCTGGACACAGAACAGTGGAGCTGGAGCCTCTTAGCACAAGCACCCCTTTCTTCCCATGTGCCTTCCTACTGTATGCCGGGCTGCCATCAGTCTTGGGGCCCCCACCCCAGCCCCTCTCCTGCTTACCGCCTGGCAGACCATCTGGTAGTTGGTGAGTGTGATGCCTCCAGCAAAGACGGCGGAGGTCATGGCCATGTGGAAGCACAGGTTCAGCAGCATGTGCCAGCCCTTCCGGGACACCTGGATGGAGCTGCCTCAGAAACAGTCTTTAATTAATGGGCCACCCAACCCAAGGTCAGGCCCATAGGTTCTCAGGGTCACTGGCAGAGCCAAAGGGGGAAAAGCAGATATCCATGTATGTGCATGGGTGTGAATGTGACAGATCCCTTAACCCCTGTGTTTTCCAGCCCCAGAACCTTCAAGTAAAAGGCTAGGCAGGAGCCCAGGAAAGGAACACTTGCCAGTACTTAGTGACCCCTGTGGCCTTTCCACCGCACCCTCCCTCCCTGCAGGAGCCCCCACCTGTGGTTGAGGATGTAGGTGATGATGGTGGAGAAGAGGCAGAGCAGCAGCAGGGCTGTGCAGGGGTACACGACGGGGTGCAGCCCTGCCCCTGGGCCCCCCACCTCCCGGGGGAAGGCACTCAGCTCCTGGGAGGGCAGGGGAGAGGAGAGGAGTATTAGGAAGCCCAGGGTAGAGAGGCCGCCCCGTGGAGTCTTGGCCAGTCCCCTAGGCCAGTTTCCCTCTTCCCAAGCCCAGTCAGCTTTGGGCCTCAGGCCATCCAGGCAGCAAAGATGTAAGCACCCCAACATCTACTCTTAGAAAGGAAAGTCAGTCTCAGTAGTGTTAATGACCTGCGTTTCTGGGACTTTTCAGGTTCCCAGCCTACAAATCAGTGTTGAGGAAGGAGGGGGAAGGTTCTGTGGTAGAGCTGCATGCCCGCTCGGCATCTGGGGAGGCGGGCTATGAGATGTGCTGGGGGCTAGGGAGCTGGACAGGGCTGAGTGGGGAGGAGGCCTAGAAAGAAGAAAGGATCTCAGATTTTTTTTTTTCACTTTAACCATCTGGGTGTCAGAGAGGACAGGCTGTGAAGACCAGGCTGGGGGGTTCCTGGTCCCTCTCTCTCCATGTCGGGATGTGGGAGTGGAGGCAGGACCTCCCTGTCTCCTGAAAGGTGAACAGGTGTGGGGAAGACCAGAGGGATATTTCCCCGTGAGTCCTGACTGCCCCGAGGCCCATTTCTCTGTGGCCTCAGTGATCAGAGTGCCCCCGGCCCCCACTACACTCACCATGAGCACAGCCACATTGCCCAGGTGCTGGCAGTGCAGGGAGCTGACGTTGGGCTGGCTGGAGCGGAGCTGGCAGCCCTCGGAGCTCCAGCCTCCGGGTCCCCCCGGCCCCTCCTGGCTCCACCAAGCTGCCACAGGCTCAGCGCCCTCAGCCCAGTGCCGCAGGGAAACGGCCACCGGCTCTGTCAGGTTTCCCACACCACAGCCACCTATGGGGGAGGGAGGGGTCCGCTCAGGGGCACACAGGCCCCGGAGGCAGGAGGCGGGCTCATGCACTGAACACTGATGCCTGCTCTAGGCTTGGGGGATATATGCCAGATGCAGGCCTGCCCCCCAGGTCCTTGCCTAACTGGGGAGACACAAGGATGAGTCAAAATCAAAAGTACCGGGAGGTGGCCCACCCTAAGTGCCAAGTGAGTGGTGGCAACATGCCCAGGAAGGGAGGACTCTGGGGCTGCGGTCGGTCGGGGACAAGACGGAGGAAGATATGTGGTGGAGGATTTGTGCCTACAGCCCTTTTGAAATCTGGCAAATCTGGGATATGAAATCCAGTGTCTTCTGAGCCTTTTCTCCACCAATACCTTCCTTTAAAGGATGTCTCTGCCCCACATCATCCTTCAAAATGGTGCGGGGCTACCATCCTCATCACCTCCACCAGGGTGTCGAGAGTGCAGGCGAGGTAAGGGCAGGACAAAGGCACAAGGCACATAGTGGGAGGGAACCCCGGGCAGTGCGATGGTGGGTAACTGGGGGTTTCAAGCCCTTACTGGTTCCTGCAAAGATGACCGGGGTGGCCACACCACGCCTCTTGCCAGGCCCGGCGGCTCCAGGGCGGGAAGCATTGCCATGGCTGCGGAAGAGGCGGCCGTTTCGGAAGACAAGCAGCTGCAGGGTGCAGTCTGGGGGTGCTGGGGGGGCCAGGGCAGCCGGAAGGGATGAGAACAGACTGGGCGGCAGCTGAATGGAGGCCAGGGCCACGCTGTTCTGGGGGGGACACAGGAGTTCCTCAGAGACATCTGGGGTCCCCTGGGGCACTGGTGTCCTCCAGCCCCTCCTCCCACCTCTCCTGGCCCCCCCTTTCTGAGCCCTGCTTCCCTTCACACCCGCCCCCCCCCCGCCCCCAGGCACCTGCATCTGATGCCTGCATCAGCATCCTCCCTGCCCCGGTGCCCACCTTGATATGGAAGGACGACAGAGAAACATTGGGCCTCCCGGTGGTGCAGCGGAAGCGGAGCTGCTGGTCAGCCAGGGGCTCTGGCTCAGGCAAGGGATGCTGGCTGGGGCCTGCGGGCCGGGCGCCGAGCGCTCCTGCCTCCCTCCTCTGGAAGGCTGTGCACGTCAGGCCCACGTAGCTGTGCGGCTTGATGAGGTAGGCCTCCAGTGCCACATTCCTTGAGTTCTGGGGACAGGGACCTGGTCACCCCTCTCTCAGCCTTCTCTTGCCCGAGACCACAGATCTGCTCAGGCCGACGCCCTCCCCTTGGTTGCTCTCTGTCTCTCAAGCCAGGCAGTCTGCGGTGGTCTTCCCAACCGCGGCCACGGCACCTTCTTCCCACTCTGCAGTCCCGTCCTCCCACCCACTCACACCCACCTTGTATCTGGCTCACCTCTTAACCCGTCCTAGCTCTGCCCCAACTGGGCCAGAGGGCAGGGTCCACGTCCCACCTCCTTGTATCTCCCAAACTGCCCAGCACAACCTCACACGTACAGAAGATGCTATGCCCGGCTCTGCTTAGGCCCACCATTGGAAATACCCCTCTTCCCAGGGAACAGAAGTCTCCGTCACCCCTCACTCCCTCCTGGTACTGTTGCCCTGCTCCCAAGCCTTCCTCCTGTCTCTTCTCCTCCTCCCCTTCCTCCTGTGCATTCCCTGCCCACCCGTAAAGCCATGCATAACTGGTGTCACTGGCCTCCCTCTCCCTTGCACTGCTCCTGATGACTCGGGATTTGATTCTGCACAACTGTGTTCAGTGTTCTTGCTCACTGGGCACACAGCAGGTGCACACTTGGAGGACTTGCTCCCGGATAACGAGGGCTGTTCCCAGTTGCTTCTAAGGTCCCTCCCTGTGCCAGACCCCTAAGGAGGGTCCACCCAGCTGACCCACAGTACCACAGAGATGTGCTGGGCGTGGGGGCTCAGGGCAGCCCCCCCGATGCGCTCCAGGGCACCCACGATGCCGCTGCAGGCCTTGTCCTCGCGCTGGGCCAGCCACAGCAGGTGCTCGTCCACCAGCATTAGGTTGCTGGCCATGTCCACCATCACCTCTACCAGCTGGGCGGGGAGGGCACAGGGAGTCACTGAGGGCTGGGGACCCAGGGCCAGGGTGCCAGAGGCTTGAGCAGATGCGGGGCGGGGGGTTTCCACAGGTTGGACTTAATCTCACCTCTTTGATCTGGTCGACATAACCCAGAAACTTCTGGATCATCTGAGCCACATATACTACATCCATCATGTCAGAGAAGCTGGCAGCCTCGGCTGTGTACACTCGCAGCTGGTGGGCCAGGGTCAGCGCGTTGGAAGCGTTGATGGGCATCTAGGGTGTGGGGAAGAAAGGGCATTGTCCAGTCTTGGTCTTTTTACCCCAGAACGGCCCCGGGGGCCCCTTCCTCTGTGCTAATGCTCAGGGTGACAGGGCCGTGGAGTGGGGTCTAGTCCAGGTGGGAGGAGCATGTAAGGAGCGAGCTCTCCTTGACTCAGGGCCACCCACTGCTCTTGCCACCGGCCTAAGGACAATGGGACGACATCATGCTGTCCTTGTTTTCCCCCTTAAGGCTGCCTTTGCTGTGCTGGGGGACAGATGCTTGAGAGGGGCTCACATGTCCCTAGTGTGACCCTGGGAGTTCTGAATCCCCTGGCAGAGGGGCTAGAGGAGGGAGCACCACAAGATGTGCCGGCCCCCTGGCCCCTGGCTGCATCCTGAGGAGGGCGGAGCAGCCACGAGGGTGGCCTCCCCGGACCCCGTGGGCCCAGCAGGCTTCTCTCCTTCCCATTCCCCACGCCCCAAGCTCCCCTCCTCTCCCAGCCTCACCAGCACGAAGGTGTAGAGCACACGGGTGATGTCGTTGGTGTACAGACAGTGGGAGTAGTCCCCCGGCTCCCAGCGGCCAGCACGGTCACAGCGGCGGGAGGCCCGGGTACCAGGGGCGCCCCCGCTCAGGGGCACCGAGGTGAAGGGGTACTGCAGGCAGGACTGGTAGGCTGTGATGCCAGCCAGAGTTCGAGGCCACCTGGGGACAGAGATGGGAAGTTTCCGATTACCCAGGCTCCTCAGGATGAGGGTCCCTCCCCTGCCCTTAGAACTGTGAGGCCAGACCCCTTGGGACCTGGGGGAGGGGTCCAGAAGACTGTCTTCAGACTGGCAATCAAGGGCTTCCCAAGTTCCACCTTCTTTCTAAGTCTGCGTTTGTTGAGACAGGGCTGGCACTGGTGTTGGAGGGGCTGGACTTGGAGTCCTGAGTTCAAGTCACTTATCCTTTCTGGGCCTTAGTATTCTCAGCTGTACGATGGGGAGATCACCTGCTCTGCCTCACTGAAGGGGCCACTGGGATATTAAAATGTGATACTCATAGTGGGAAAACTTTGAAAAATATTCGTGTAAAGAAGCAAAAAAAAAAAACCAGAAAACAACAAAAACCCTTTGTTGTGCACAGCACATCTCAGAGGATGGTTTTATACAAAAAGATATGGTCTCTAAATACAACAGTGGGACTTAGAGTTGAGTGACAGAAGTAGGTGTTTTCTCCATCTTAGAGCGGTCAGGGAGAAGGATCACCTGCGGTCCCAGAGGCAGGAGCAGGGGGTGAGGGGGGGTTCTCGAACCTGAAGTCCCCGCGGTTATTGGCGACGCGCTCAGCAGGGCAGTAGGAGGCCGAGGTCTCCAGCACCACAATCTCCACCTTCTTGCTGGCGTTTCCCTGGACCGTGGACACCGAGCACTCCCATTCGCCTGAGGCCCACACGCCGATGTGAGACAGGGTCAGCTCACTGCGGGCGGGCGAAGGGCTGGCTGGAGGCGCTCCCAGCGCCCACGCCGCCCTCCCGGAGCACCCAGGCACCGCCCTGGGGTGCACAGGGCACCAGCTTCAGGCTCTTTTTCTTTAATCCAGCCAGGGATAGAAGTACCTACCCCTTTAAGACTGACTGGCCTTATGATAGTGTTTTTCTGAGCTTCAATTTCCCCGCCTCTATCAGGAAGATAAATAATACCTCTTGCAAGACTTTTGGAGCGATCAGGTCCCATGATCTAGGTGAGAGCCGCTCTAGCATTGGAAAGGCACTGAAGACGTGGCCATGCAGTCATTTTTTTCTATCAAGCATTTAATTTTGATCCTTTTTCCAGACCGTTTATGACTTAGTCCTGGGTCCCCATAAACACACGCACACATTTTTCCAGGAACCAGCTCCCTGGGGTGGGGGGTGAGGGGTACCGTGGGCTGAGAAGGGGCCGCAGGGCCTGTACCTGGTGATGAAGGTGCAGTCGTGGATGAGGCTGGCTGCCAGGAGGATGCCTGCCTGTTCGTCTCCCTCCACGGGGGCCCGATTGTGGTACCAGCGGATGTGGGTGTCGTTGCCCAGGTAGCTGGCAGAGCACTGGAAGGGCAGCCGGTCGCCCTGGAACACCACTTGGCGGAGGGATGGGATGAGGTGGTGTGTGTGCAGCTCCAGGGCCCCCTCTGCGGGAGGGGACACCAGCAGTGAGGCCCGAGTGTGCCGGCAGGGGGCCCCGGTAGGGGCAGGGCCAGGCCCCTCTGTCAGGAGCCCACTCTGGTTGGGAAGGAGAAGGGGGCAGGAGAGTCTCCAGAGATAAGAGAACAGGAGAAGAGCAGGCGGGCTGTGGACGAATAAAAGAGCTCCCTTCCACAGCACACTAGTCACCCCAAGAGGTGGGACCAGATGAAAACAGACAGCAGCCCCAAAGGAAGTTCAGAAAAGTTGATGGCGGACCGGCCCCCAGTGGGATCTGAGGGAGAGGATGCCCTGGAGACCAAGACCACCGCACCACGACTCTGCAGACACAGGGAGCCGTGAGCCAGCATGGCCCTTGAGGAAGGAGCCTAGGACCTGAGGCCTGCGGTGGGGGTTCTGCTCACCGCATCGCAGCTGGGCCTCCTGGAGGCTGCCCAGGGCCTGGGCATGTAGGGTGCTGGGGTAGGCACAGAGCGTGCGCTCCGACAGCTGCAGGGAGTGATTCCGGGCCCAGGGCAGCAGCCAGCGCAGGTGGCAGTCACACGTCAGGAACTCGGTGCCGAAGTCCCTGCAGAGTGGGTGGAGGGGCCTCAGGGTAAAGCAGAGGGAGTGGGGGCTTATCGGGGTGAGGATGGAGCCCCAGGGAGGGACTGAGGCTGGAGGGGGTCGGGGAGGGCAGAGGTTTGTGTGTGTGTTGTCTGTGTGCACAGACACACACACCACCTTCACACCACCCCTGCACGAGAAGGTGCGCATGGTGGAGCTGCAGCCATTGTCGGTACTGCCTCCTCAGAGGCTGGCCACGTGGTCACGGTGCTTATGTGTCTCCCTCCTGGGCAGAGGAAGGAAGCAAAGGCCTGTGTCCTGGGGCTGGGGAAGCATACTCACACCACCTTAAGGGCTGGCAGTTCATCAAAGACCCCAGGTTGCAGGCTGGAGAAGATGTTTCCAGATATGTTTCTGCAGGGAGCAGGGAGCAGGAGACAGGATCTCAGGCTCTTCTGGGCCCAAGGAGGGAGGGGTGAGGGGAGAGACCACAGGCTCCCGTGAGGGTGTGGGGGAGCCTTCCCTCTGCCCACCCCCCCACCACCCCTCACTCACAGCCGGAGAAGCCGGGGGAGGCCTTGGAAGGTCTCAGAAGTGAGACAGCCAATCCGGTTGTTGGAGAGATCTCTGGGGAGACACACACAACCTCAGCAAGTCGGCCACGTGGCAGCACACGGATCTACTTGTGAGGGACACACACATTTTAAAAAGTGTGCTGGGGCTTGTGTGGGGGAGCGGAGAAAAAAGGAGATGGGGCCGGGGCTCTATATGTCTGCTGGTCTGTCCCCAGCCCATGTGCTGTGGAGGGGGCAGTGAGGGAGGCCGAGAAGGGGGACAGTGGGCCCATGGGACTTTCTCAGGGATGAGAGGGGCCGGGGGCGGGGGTGGGACAGGCCACTCACAAGCGCTTCAGCTCCCCCAGACCCAGGAAGGCGCCGGGCTGCACTGTGCTGATGATGTTGTTCCTCAGGTCCCTGTGGGAGGCAAGTGAGGTCTTCTCACCTCTCCTGCTCACTCAGGGGGGCCACATGGCTCCCCTGGGGGTGGGCAGCCTCCCTGCCTCCAGAAGTGCTGGGTTCTCGGTTTCCCTCTCGATCCCTGCTCTCCTCAGTGCTGGCCGGGAGGTTGGATGAAGGACAGCCCCTCAGATGGGTCCCCTCAGCCTCCCTGGCTACCATAAGGGGTACTGGTCACACGCGTTGGGGAGGATGCAGAGGCCAAGAGACGGGTGGGATGAGGAGGTGGAACACGGTGGAAATAAAGGAGGCCTCGGTTCCCATGTGCTTTACCTCTGAGCTGCCCTGAGTTTCTCGGTCTCTCAAGGCTGCTGTGGGAGTCATTGACAAGGGGTGTTCCGGTCTTTTGTAAATTGCTACACGAAGGTAAAGGGACAGGTACTTTCATCACCAGCCTGCAGATCTCTCCGTCTGGCAGGTGAGGAAGAGGTCACGGGACTGCTTGGTGACCACATGGATGCTGACCCGAGTCTCTGACTCCAGGCAGGGCAGTTCATCCCCAGGCCGGCCCCTCAGTCCTCAGGTGAGGAAGCTGACGCCAAAGGGGCGAAGGCTTGTTTGTGGTCACCTGCTGCATTCCCCCAGGTCTCCTAGGACCCACAGTGAGGAGAGAAGGTGACAGGGGAACAGGGGAAGTGTCACCTCAGGCTCAGCTCCAGCAAGTCACAGACTGGACAGAAGAGGGTGGTCTTCCCCTTCCCCCAGGCTCCACAGGGCCAAGGGTCACCCACCAGGAGGCGCAGACTGCAGGTGAATCGTCAGTCACTTCTGTCCCAGGGTCCAGTGGCTCCAACTCAACCTCCCGTTTGTCACGTCCCCCAGGGGCAGTAGAGGCAGGGCTGAAGGGACACTTTCTGCCCACAGGGGACTGGCCAGTGCCCACCTGGCCCCAGCCCCCCACCAACCCCTTTAGCCCTCTGGGACCACTGAGGCCCAAGGTGAGGGTTGGCCCCCTGGCCTGCCTCAGCACTCCGTCCTCTGCATGGGCACAGCCACAGGGAGAGGTGCCTAGATGACCAGCCACTCGCCCACCTACCCAAGGGCCACCTGGGTCTTTCCTACCCAAATCAGAACAGGCCCACAGAGACCTTACCAGGAGGCCTCACTGCCTGCCAGCCTCCCCTCCTGGCACCTGGCAGGGGGCTACAGCCTCCCAGCTCACTCCTGGCTTTCTGACATCCTCCCGGCCCCAACCAAGGACCCAGGAGGGCAAGGACAGGGGATTCCTAGAATAAGCAACTTAGGTTGGCCAGTGGGGTCAACCTGCTTTCCAAGGCCCTGCCACCCCCAGCCCAGACTAAGGCAGGGGCTCTTGGCTCTGCCTGTCAAAGCTCAGGGGCACCTCTGGGTTATGGGCAGGAGGGGGTTAACCGAGTCGGCTCCCTGCTGGGGGAGAGGAAATGGGTGTCCAGGATGGGGAGGTGCCGTCCCACCAGGGGGCCTGTTTTCACACAGGCAGTCCCAGCTGGGGACGTAAACACCCCCAGAGAGAGACAGAAACAGAACCATAGAGACAGAGACAGAGAGAAATGAAATGGATCCCCTGCTGATCCCTGCCCACAGCCCATGGGTCCTCATACCTCAGCTCCCTCTCCTCCACAACCCTGTGCCCCCTTGAGAAAGAAGAGAAAGCCACCAGAAGGGCCTGGTTTCCTGGAGGCGGGATGACTTCCACAGCCAGCATGCTGGGAGGCGCCCAGTGCTGGGTGCAGACAGGGAACATTCGAGAACACAGCCCCTAGAACGCTCATGCAGGGTGGAGGCTGGAGACAGCGGAGTAAGCGCCCTTCCTGCCGGTCACCCCTCTTCTTGCTGCCCAGACCCCCGCCCTCACAGCCCCGTCCTCCAGTGCTGCTCCAGCCTGTGCCCCCCGGCCCCTGTTGGGGTCTGGCCATTCTCAGGGCTCTGCCTCCCACCCCGTGCGGGGGACGGGCAGAGGGAAACACATTCCTCATTGTGTCACTTCCCTTCATGGGCTGCCAAGGGGCCCAGGCCACAGCCCCCCGCCCCTTCCCTCTCCGCTTACTGTGTTTATTCTCATTTCCTCCCCAGCCCCCCTCCAGAACCCCCACCCGGCTGCCCCACTGATGCTCTGCAGATGGGAGCAAGGCAGCCCGCTTGGGCCCAGCCCCTTCCTGCCCTGGGTTTCCTGCAGCCTGTGGCCAGGCTGGGGCCTTCTGAGACGGGAGCTTCCAGCAAGTGTCAGTGGTTCTGACCCCTGGCCTCATGCCCTCAGAGTGGCTTCCAGGGTGACCAAAGCAGCCCTTGGACAGAGTACCCTCAGAGTTGGCCTGCTGGCCCCGACCAACCAGTCCTGGGTCCTCTCCCAAGGGGGCACAGGCCAGGGGCGGCTCCCTGAGCTGAGCTGATAGCCTGATGGGGTTTGGGGTCTGGCCCCTGGGCAGCTGAGGCAGGGAACGCAGCTCTGGGGCCATGCCCCCCTGGCAGTAGGAGGAAATGCTACCATAGAGCTCAGATTCTGGGGGGACCTGCAAGGTGCCTATAGGTTGGTGGCTCTGCACCCTTCTTGGCTGGGAACATCCTTTTGAAAATCTGATGATGGCTGTGGATTCCCGCCCCAGAAGGACGCACTACCCTCAACATTGTGCACATGATTTTGTTAGGTAGTCTAGATAGAAATGAGCACTGGGCAGGGGGAGAGGAAGAGGAAAGGATCAACCCAGAAAACGGCAGTGGGTCTGTGTTCAGGGACAGGGACTCCAGAAATTTTTACTTTCTTTAAAAGAGGGCCAGTAAAAGGAGCCAGTTAAAACCAAGGCGCTGCAGCTGCGCAGGGGAGGGGGACCTGGTATAACCTGACCCAATGAACCTGCCCAAAAGGGGATGGGCGGGCCAGAGCGCAGGGAACCTGAGTTGTCAATCAATCAATCAATCAATCAATCATGAAACAGGATATGAAAACAGGTAAAACAAAGGAACGGCGCCATTTTTCATCTCTTGGGTTGGCCTGCTCCCAGGTCTTGGGAGTATACTGTCTTTTACTATCTTTCTACTTCACTAATAAAAATTTCACTCATATCACGCTTTCTGTCTCTCATTAGAAATTCTTTTTTCTCAGGTGACTAAGAACTGAGGTAATTCTTATTTCCCTTTTTCCGGTAACAATTTCAGGGGCTTGTGGAACCAAGGTGACGAACCCCTGCTCTAGACTTTCTAATCGGATCCCTTCATTTCTTGGGCGAGGTCACGAGGATACAGATGTTTCTGTGATGTGGAGTCTCACGCCCCTCGTCTGCTTCCACAGAGCCCTGGTCTTGGAAGCTGGAGAAAGTGCAGCCTATGGGTGGAGCCTCCCTCTCTACCCGCCTTGCCCAACCTAGACGGACCAGAGCCCGGACACACCCCTTTCCCTGTATCTACATCCACATGGAGGAGAAGGACACCTTATGGCAGAAGCTGGGGGCAGGGTGTTCCTGGGAGCAGATCTTGTCCTATGCCCTTCATGGGAAAGAGAAGAGCTCAGGAAGCTGAGTATGTAAGAGTTAGTGTGTGAGCCCAAGCAATAAAAGAGCAGATTGATAAGCTGGACTTAATAAAAAGTGAAAGCTTTTGCTCTTTAAAGGATATCATTAAAAAATGAAAGACAGCCCACGGGATGAGAGAAAATGTCTGGGGATAAGGGGCTTCTATGTAGAAGACATAAAGAACACTTGTAACTTAATAATAAAAAGGCAAATAACCCAGCTGAAAAAAAAAGTGGGCAAAGGATTTGAATAGACATTTCTTCAAAGAGGATATACAAATGGCCAATTAATGCGTGAGAAGGCGCTCAATGCTGTTAGGGAAATGCAGATCTGACCCACAGTGAGATTCCACGGCACATCTATTAAGGTGGCTAGAATTAAAAAAACAGAGATTGGAAGGAATCCTTATGCATTGTTGGTGGGAGTTTAAAATGGTGCAGCCACTTTGGAAAACAGCTGGGCAGTTAAAGTGACCGTATGACCGAGTAATTCCACTCCTCGTATATATCCAAGAGAAGTGAACATACATGCACACAAGAACATATACAGGAATGTTCATAGCAGCATTATTCATAAGCCAAGAAGTGGAGACACCCCAAATGTCCATCAACTAAGGAATGAATAAACAAAATGCGGTATCTTCGTACAATGGAAAACTATTTGGCCATAATAAGCAGTGACGTGTTGATACTTGCTATAATATGGATGAACCTTGAAAATATAACGCTCCGTGAAAGAATCCAGTTACAAAAGATTATATAGTGTGTGATCCCATTTCTATGAACTGTCCAGAATAGGCAAGTCTATTGAGACAGAAGATAGATTAGTGGTTGTTTAGGACTGGGAAACGGGGTGGAGGAATGGGGAGTGATTGCTAATGAGTCAAAGCTTTAGGGGATGATGAAAATGTTCTAAAATTAGATGATGATGATGATTGCACAACTGTGTAAGTATACTCCAAGTCCTGGGATCATATGCTTTAAGCGCATGAACTTTATGGTATGTAAATTATGTCTCACGAAAGCTGTTAAGAGTGTCTGAGTTTGTATGATGGTGTGTGTGTGTGTGTGTGCGCGCGCATGTACCCACATTTTGGACAGGGTGGGGCTCCCTTTGGCCCCCACAGACCTCCCTGCTTGTGGGTTTGAAAACCAAATTATAGGTTTGGAGGCCACAAAGCCGCTCTCCGGGGCCCTCCAGGACTTCCAGGGTTCATTAGAAAGCTGGGGGTGGGGTGGGGGAGGGCTGGCAGAGGAGTGGGCAGAACACCCCTGCAGGTATGGAGGTTGTCTGTGGGGAGGAGAGGGAGGGAGTTTCTGGTGGCCAGGCCGAAACCCCAGATGGTCTCAGCTTCCCTCCCACCCCCTTGCCCCAGCCCCTCTTGTCTCTGATCTCATCCAATAGGTATTTATTGAGCACATACCCTGTGCCAGGCATGGGGCCTACATCAGCGAGCAAGAGGGCTGTCCCCAA